TTTTTTTTTTTTTTTTGCTGTCAACTGTCAATGAAACTTAACCCTATTTATTTTTTCATACTAATGGTAATACTGCACAAAACACTTTTTTATTTAATTAAATAATGAACCAAAGAACAAAGAATAATAACATGCAAAAAGCAGACAATTTCTTATAACTATTACAGTTTTTCTGGTTTTCTAACTATGTGACAAGAGTCATTAAAAATTCTGCTATGCTCATTGATGTGTTTCCTGTGGGAATAAAGTTTGAACTGGAAGTGAAATATACAATTCTCTGTAAAGAAAATAATGTAATATAATATGTCAGTTGATTGATTAAAACTTTGGCTTTCAATTGGTTATAAATAATATAGTAATAAACATAAGAGAAATATATTGGCCACTTCTGAAAGAGAGGATTTGACAGATGAGCATAACAAAAGGGGTCTGATTTCCTATTTTGTGGCTCTGTGACCAAATAAGATTGAAGACAATAGAAATTATGCTTTGTCTGAGCAATGACAACATTATAATAAGTAATTTACTTGAAATTTTGTACTTCTCAGAGGGGTGATAAATAAATTAAGAGAGGAGGGGATACCTAGAGAGTAAATGTCACAATTCTTAAACTAGGGGAAATTCAGGATTTTTTAAATATTGCTTTATAAAATTAAGAACTTCAAACTTATATAATATTAAAACTTGAATTATTAGCTACATGTTACTCAAACCTGAAATTTTTCTCTTCTCGTTAAATGAGTTTTTTACATCATAACATAGTTTGTAGAATGTTCTAGGCTTCAGTTGGACAATATATATAATAGACAACCCGTGACCCGTTGGGTCACCCACTATTCAGAAGTTATGAAGAATTCAACCTAATTTCAATCTTGCACTGAAATGAAGGTTTATTTTGAGATAATTTAATTAAATATTTCAATCCATTCATGTTATTCATAATTCAAGAAAAGATATTTGATTGTTGATCGGGAGTAAAAGTAAAAAACATTTCATTTTTCAAAAAAGTGAAGTCAGAGTTTTCAGGTATTGTGATGAATTAGTTCATTATGTTGTGGTCTTTTCTCTTAAACCTTCTACAAATAAGAAACAGTAACACTTTATTTTTTCTTCAAGATCTTGTTTTTGTCATCTTATGCCTTTTAATGAAGATGGGAACAGTGACAAGGAAATAAATTTGAACGAAGAAGTTTCGTAAAGAGTGCGAATGGTAGTGACATGTAAAATTATTCATACTAGAAATTTTCATAAAAGTGACCCAAAAAATAGTATTAACTCGGTAACCCGTGGCCCGATGAAGTTTCGTAAAGAGCACGAACGGTAGTGTGAATGATTTTTTGACTGAGAAAATAAACAAACAAACAATCTTAGAGTTTTAGTAGTACATAGATAAATTCTTCAAGATTTTGTTTTTGTCATATTACGCCTTTTAATGAAGATGGGAACACTAACAGGGAAATAATATATTAGCCAATGTTTGATAAGAGGATTTCGTTTATAAAATTTTGTTGTTGTTCTCGACTTGATTTTTATTTTATTACCTTGTCTCCATAGTTACTATTTGCAAATAGTCAATAATATTGTAGGTCCATTTTATTGTTGTTCTTTCTACGCGCTGTTATAACACATTTTCATCTCATCATTTAATTTCTGTTGTGCATATATTCTTGTATAGAAGATATTTTAAAGTGATTCATCAGGTGGAAAACGAATAGATAAATAGATAAACTGATATGTGGCGCCATCTAGTGTACCTAAATTCATCTAGAAATTTTCTTAAAAGTGACCCGAAAAACGGGGCTAACTCTGTAACCCCGTGGCCCAATTTTAACAAAGCGTGTTTTATTCTTTCTATTCTCATTTCATTAAAAATATGGTGCTGTTGTGCACTGTTTTTGCTGTATTTAATTAGAGACAAGCATATACACAAACAATCTAAGCATTTTAGTAGTAGTAGTATATATATATACATATATATATAAGTGACCAAGTTAGTGTAAGTATGTAAGTTAGTAAAAGTGCAGTTAGACTGTGCAATTGAGTTTAGTCATTAAGAGCATATAGTGGCAATTTTTAACGAAACTTGTCTTATTCTGTCTCTATTCTCATTTCTATTACAAATATGGTGCTATTGTGTGCCATTTTTGTCTGTATTTAATTACAGACAAGCATACACACAAGCAATCTCAGCATTTATATAGGTATATATATATATATATATATATATCTATAAGTGACTAAGTTAGTGCAAGTATGTAAGTTAGTAAAAGTGCAGTTCGACTGCATGATTGAGAGTTTAGCCATTAAGAGCATATAATGGCAATTTGTAAAGTATTATAGCTTATATTGTAACAATAGAGCAGGAGAGAATAATTTGTCTTGTCAAAGGGTATTCTCAAGTAATTGAACATACTGTGTGAAGGCTGACATAAAAGAGAATTATTTATAGCACTGGATACAACTGTGGTAAACCACGGGATAATGTAAGTGAACTTATCACTGATTGTATTGTGATAGCAAATTAGAGAAGAATAATTCATCTTATTAACTGGGTTCTAACGTAACTAAACCAGCCTGTGTGGACTCTTGGAGAAAAGAGAATATTATTTAAGCTCTGAATTCAACTGTGGTTATTAACTGTATAATGAACATTTGTATATATGTTTGACTTGTTTTGAATATATTATTTTAAAACAAGTGGATTGCGTGCTATCTATTTGTTGTTGAAATTTATCTCCAAGTCACAGACATCTACGGTAAAGAATCCAGCCCATACACATACTTAAAAACTTGACATCCAGTCCACAT